CGATTGTATCTGCTGTTCATTTTGGCTAAAGTAGCCATTCATGTGGTGTCAGCTACCTGCCTAGCTCCCTTTGCAGGTATCTGTAGGAATGTCAGCTTGTGTTTCTGGAGTAGTTAGTGAGTCCTGGTTGATCAATAACTGTCTTGTTCCTAATGTACTGGACGCTGGAGCAGTAGCTGAGAGCTTTACATTCTGATTCACATGCGCTAGACAGAGAGAGAGAGAGACACTGGGACTGGCCTGGGCTTTTGAAACCTTAAAGCACATCCCCAGTGGCACACCTCCTCAAACAAGACTACATCTCCTGATCCTTCCTAAACCGTCTATAAACTAGGGGCCATTCTCATTCAAACCACCACATCCACCATCCTTCTTAAATTGTTAGAGATTCCAAAGAACTCTACATATCCCAAACAATTTTAAAACAAAAGAATAAAGTTGGAAAGTGCACATTGCTTAATTTTAAGATTCACTATAATGTTATAGTAATTAAAATAGTATGATACTGGAAACAACCCTGACTTATAGACCAATCAAACAGAAACAGGGCCCTAAAATAAATACTCACAAATTTGTATGATTTACCAATTTATTATCAGGGTACCAAAGCCATTAATTGAGGAAAGGAATGACTTTCCAATAAATCATCTTATGAAAACTATATTTCCATATATAAAATAACAAAGTTGGACCCTTATCTTTTTCATATTTAGAGTATAGCTTGAAATAGATTGAAGATCCCAGTGTAGATGTAAAACTAGAAAACTCTTAGAAGAAAATGCAGGAAATCTATAAAACATTTTATGTGGCAACAAAAGCATAATAAAAGAAAAAGGGAAAATGGAAAAACTAAGCTTCAACAAAATCACGTACTATAAAAAGAGTAAAAAAATCTCCACAGAGTCTAAGAATTTATTTTGTGGAAGGTTCTTAGCAGATTATGTACATTCTTAAATATTCAACTGAAAATGGCTATCCTTCACTGGATTGTCCTATTGTTTAATGAATGACCCTTCTTATTTGCTCTTTGCCATTCATGATGTTTTTCCATCTTTTAGTCTTCTTATTACTGTGTAAAAAGTTCTAAATCATAATAATTTTCTACATTATCCACTAGTATTTTTGATTATCAAATGTAATAAAAACTTTTTTAAAGTCCCTACCAAAATATTGCATGCTAAGTAATACTTTTTATTTTGAAATGCATTTGCAGTCTCTTGCATCTGTAGAGGCATGAGCCATTATGTATCCATTTCATGCTAAAAAGAGGGAAAATGAAAAATAGTGAAATATTGAAAAGGCTATGGAATTTATGTCTTGTGCATTTCATTATTATTAATAGGATCATTTTTTGTAATGAGGACAGCAGCTTCTATGTATCTAAGTATTCTGTGTGCCTGCATTCACAGTTTCTACCTGCTCTAAAATTACCACAAAACATCTTACCCAGTTCTGTTAATGCCACTTCTTCTTGCCTGCCTTCATGGGAAGCCAATTCCTGTCAAAGTAGAAGACATTTTTCAGCAAGTGATTTAGTAAATTTTATAATCATTGAAATATTTATTGAAAACCTATACACACAGGTTTCCTGTGATGTATTAAAAAGAAGTCAGACTTGTTCACAGTTATCTCAAAATTAAAATCTGAACCAGCAATGCAACACAAATTAGGTAGGTAAGTAGCTGTTAGCTAGATGATAGATAGGCTGATAGATTTATAGAGAGACAATAAGCACATGGATGATGTGATATCTCAGTTATGTGAAGGTTAGCTACTTGGTTACTAGCTTTGAATCCAGCAGGAACCTGGAAAGTAAAGAAAAAAAAAACTTGTTATTCTTTCTTTGTGATTTCTATCTCATGCTTGGGAAGTTATAAAATATTTACTCTTGTTCTCCCTTGTCCTTTTCTTTTCTTTATTTTTGTTGAGGCTATTAATTGTACAAAGTGCTAGGTTTTATCCTGTTATATTCA